ACTCTCATCCTCTTCACTGGATGTTTCAAAGTCGTCACTTTCTTCGGAATCAGCTACTTGTTTTCCTTTGCGGGAAGATGTAGCAGGTTCCTTTCCGCACTAAGTAACCGCGGTGGTTGTTGTCGTCGCGCGTTACCGCGGCAGCCTATACTGTCGCGCTCAGGCGCGACAGCACGAGCTGCCGCGGTAACTGAACAACGATCCTCAATGTTGAAAAGCCTCTAATTCGATGAAAACTCGAATTTTGGCTGTGGTACACATCTTGATTGAACAAGATACGTATTTTTAAGCGTCAATCCTCTCGATGGAAGATGTCAACTCTTCCCGAATGCCTCTCAAAGGAGGCAAACGAGGTTATACATGCAAAAACAGTGGTTTTGAAAAGGGGGAAATGTTGAAAACTCACCTCCGAATGAAGGGACAGCAGCCTCTGCCTCCTCTGACGCCTGGGCTGCAGACTTCCCCCTCGAAGCACGGGTTTTCTTTGGCGACATGGTGAAATCAACCTGGGATCAAAGAAAATTAGGGTTTAGAGATGAAATCTCGAATTAAATAGCAAAATAAACATGAAATACAAGGGATAGGCTCGGTTCTTACCAGGGGAGAATAGAATCAAGTTTGATCAAGGGAAAAGATCAAAATCAAAGAGAACTCAAAACCCTAGATCTTAAAACCCTAGGTTTTGTTTGAGCAAACGCAAAGATGAAGAGGTGGAAAGGGGAAAAGCCAGAAAAATCCTTTTATAGGGTTTTGGAGAAGGTTTCGAACTCAAAGAGGCGGGGAAGAATGACCCGAAACAGCCCAAACCAGTCTTATAAACCTGACTGGCTGAAGTGCTGCGCGGCACTCGATACTGTCGCGCTCGAGCGCGGCAGTCTATGCTGCCGCGCTTAACGCGACAGTCTATGTTGCCGCGCTCAAGCGCGACAGTATAAGCTGCCGCGGCCGTTCATACACCATAGTCCATTCTGTCGTGCAGGAGCACTGTGCATACACAGTAATTCTTTGGGTACCTGGATACATACATCTCCCTCTGTATTCAGAATACCTACCCTAACACTCCGATGAGTATATGAGTATAAACCGCATCTCCTTGAACCTCCCAACGGGTATATGAGGTTAAACTATTTCCTGAACACTCCAATAGAGTATATGAGTATAAACTATTTCCCTAATTTTCAACAACGGTTCTGATTCAAGACTTCGACAACGGCCACGCGATAAACGCAGTGCCGGAGATATCTTAGCTATTCTACAAAGCACTGAATAAGCTAAAAGATAAAGAAGTCAAGAACTGAAGCCATTCACAGACCATTCTACGCAACTTCCTCAACAAAGCACTGGAAAGCTTATCATATCCAAAGTGTCCCAGACTCCTCTCTAAAAGTGATGAGTCTGAGATACTTTGGAGGGGGTATCTGTAGGCGTCAAAAAATGTTTACGGACATCCAAATACCTCTCAAGACAAGATAGAAGAACAATATACACCTCATCAGGCAACACAACGCAGCGCCTCAGGACAAGGTGCCGCGGCTAAGGCGCGGCAGTCCAGGGTGCCGCGGTCAAGGCGCGGCAGCCAATGGTGCCGCGGCCAAGGCGCGGCAGTCCAAGGTGCCGCGGCTAAGGCGCGGCAGCCTATGGTGTCGCGGCTATTATGAGAGGTGTTGTGGCAGTTGTGAGGCAGTTATCCGATGATTTTTTGAAGTCCACGTGGCGGAATATCAGAAATAGAACGTGTGCTGACATGGACAAGCGGTTAAACCACGAAAAAAATGGTTAAAAGTCGTGGGAGAGCGGTTTCAAGCACGATGAAACGTGCTGGTAACCGCCTCTTTGGCCGCGGCAGCCTATACTGCCGTGCCAATAGCCGCGGCAGTATAGAACTCAGGCGGCCAAAGAGGAAATACTTGGGCAGTTGTTTCGCTCCTGTTTCAATGTGATGCACTGAGACCCCTATAAATACCTCCTAAGCACGAAATAAAAGGAGAGAGAGCATTTTGGAGGCAGAAGAGATACTTGAGTCTTTGGTGATTTTGAGAAAGAAAGAGGAGAATTTTCACCCTTTGACAAGCATATTTGGTGATCCTAGAGATCTAAGCTCAGACTTGATCTTTGAAGAACGAACATCTTACATCGATAAGATATTCGTTTTCAAATCTTTACTTCGATAACGAAGGAGAGATCACTAAACAACCTCTCGATCTACGAATCGTGGTCCACGAACTAAAGGCGTTCCGCGCATCAGGGCAAAAGTCCCACAAAAGCAGGAGTTGATAAACAATTTCGGTGTTTTTTTCTTGAGAGTTGTATTTTCTTTTACTTTCATTGTAATTCTTTGTAAACGATCGAAGTTTTAATGGAATCTGCAATGAACAACTTTCGCTGAAACACATACTACTCATATGGGTGTGGTGTTATTCAAGGATATCCTGATTTAGTGGGAGTTTTATAATTTTCATGTGCTTTGTGTTTGGTTGTATTGTCTGATCAGAATAAAGTATTCAGTTAAGACACTCTATTACATTATGTTTGGTTTTGACCTCACTAAAGGAGGACCAGTTGAAAATAGACATGTATTGATCACATTGCATGTAATTTTCATGCTGCACATCCATGATTGATCTATGTCGTTTGATTGTATTGGTATATGTGACCATTGATGGGTCGAGTCACGCTAAATGTGACAAAGGCCGCTTTGATCCTATATTGATATAGTCAATGGACGAGATTGTTTGGAAATATCTTTTTAATGATAGTAATTTTGAGCTCATAAGGTTATACACAATTTAAGGAATCATATGGTGCCCAAGTGGGAGATTGTTGGATTTAAATCTAATTAAATCTATTTGTGGGCACATATGATTAATCAATGTGTATTACTATCTTTAAGGATAACCCACTTAAAGTGATCAATCAATTTGGGTTAATAGGTATTTAAATAAATCATGGGGGTTATATGTGCAGATACCAGGTTGTAATTGTAATTTGATGAGGGGCCAAATTACAAATGTACAACACCTATATATAAGGGGTTATGGTCCCTAATCTAGGGTTAACCACTCTCATTCTCTTATCCCCATCTAAAGAGATCCATAAGAGAGAAACCCTAAGGTTAGAAGATCATCAAAACCCTAATCAAGTTTTCTTCAATGGATTCAGGTATATGCTTCCGCACCTTTTGATTCTTGTTAATCTCTTTGAATTCAATCATGACTTTATGGTTTTAGATCTCAAGTTTTTATTAGATCTAACAGGCTCTGCTTTATGTAATAATAATCAATCGTGAAGAAAAGACATGAAAGAAATTTGAAATATCAGTTGTTGAAATGCGCATGGGATTTGTAATTGTGAAGGGTTCTATAATATCCTTGCAGTGCTGCCTCGAAGCACCTTAAATCAAATCAATAATTCTTTACGTTGCATGGCCCACTATTAAATCTCACGGCATTTAGCTACCTTTAAAATAATAAAAATATTCTATATCTTTGACATGAACTTTAACAGTAAAGATTTAGACATGAACTTTTTTGTTTTTTGCCTCGTTTTTTGAGTAGTTGAAGACTTGAAGAACATGAAACATTTATGACAAAGCTCTCCCCAAAAATTTAAAGAATGGTGCAGATTTGGGAAAGACCCTTTTTTTCTCATCCATCCTTATTTTGGGGAACAGGATGAGGAATCTGTTGGACCAAAAAAAGTCTAAAATTTTCCAAAAGTAAGAATACGATATGCTCATGTATGCTTATGTACCAAAAATAATCCAATCCGCAATTCTTTAACCGTAATTCTCGCATTTTTATTTTGAAAAGGGCAAAAAAGGAAAGCAAATAGTAAAAACTGCGACCAAAAACAAACACGTGGCCTACTCGGACAATCTAATCCCGATTAACTCCCTATAAATAAAATCGGAGCCTGACGATTTTCTTCTCCTTATTTCCATCTCAAACCGAAGAGGAAAAAATAAAAAATAAAAAAAATGGCTCGAATCTTGTCGCAAACCCTAATCCGCGAATCCCAAGCCCTAATCCACGACCCCCCTCCATCATCCCGATCCCCTTTCTTCGCCTCTCGATTCATCAACCTCCGCTCTCGATCGAAGCGCCCCGAGAAGGCTCAGCTCCTGGAGCTCGATCTCGGTCCTGAGGAACCCGAATCCGGATCCGGATCAGGATCCGAGAACCGAGGGAAACGGAGACTGCAGGAGGCGATCCACGCGATCATCATTCGTAGGGCCGCACCAGATTGGATCCCGTTCGTTCCGGGATCGTCGTTTTGGGTCCCGCCGGCGACGAAGAGGAGCCCTTTGACGGACGAGGAGGAGCTCTCGTTTTCTTCTCCTCGGGGGTGGCCGTCGTTCTCCTATTTTGTTGATGGTACGATTTGTGTTATTGGGTATTTTAGGGTTTTATTTTTTTCCATTTATTTACGAAAAGGTAGTAATTTTTTTATTAGGATGCATTTTTTAAAACAAAAATATGATTTTTATCGGAAAATTTTTGTGACAAGACTCAAGATTGCAAATGTTTCCGTTAATATACAATATCAATTTGTTCAAACTTGAAATAATTGAATTGGGTTATACTGTATCTTTGTTTGATTATCCAATATTCACTTGGTGCATGTGCTTTGGTATTAACCGTGAATTGACAGTTTCCAATTTGTTTATATAAGCTTATTAGATTAGAAATTTTATATAGACACCTAAACAATTTATTTAAAAGAAGATTTACCCAATATATTTGAAAGCATAAATTTGGATATCAATCAAATGAAACGATATGAATAATAATTATCATTGTGTATATGATTGGAAGGAATTACTAAAGAATTAGTATCTTACTGGCACTGCATATCACATCAAATTCTTAGACTCTGCACTTCAATACACGCCTATACTTTCTAGATTCATAATTTCAAGGCCTTTTCTATGTTCCCCATGGTTAAAAATAATCAGCAAGCATACGCAATCGTTCCAAGGAACTTATTCATAAAACCAGAGCATCATTATTCATAAATATGTGCATTTGATTAGAATATCTGAAGGAAACTATAAATAAAATGACATTATTGGGGTCTGGATACGATAATTGGAATAAAAGGTGACCCATATTGATTAATAGGATCATGCTTGATGATTATGCTTTTAGTCTCTTCTTCATGAGGACATACTCATTTATATTCAATAATCTAATCCAATAGCATTGTCATCAAAAGCTTCTAAAGTCCTACCTTTAGTTGAAAATAACTTTGCTTAGCCAAAATCTATAGTAAACGGCCCCTAAGACTTTTAAAAGCTTAATTGTTTTACTTGATTTGGCCAGCTTATTGTGTGCTAAAATAGGATTTAAGGTTTAAATTTGATCCTTAATTGCACTTGTTTATCCTGACTTCACTCAGTAAACACCAATTGTGGTTTCATAAAGCTATATTCTCCAATTAGTTGTTATGTCCAGAAGACTAACTGAGTTCTGTTTGAGAGAAATTTTGGAGTTGAGGTAACTCCAATTGTCTCAACTTCAAAGTTGAGATAACTCCAAAAGGTGGAGGTAGATAATCTAATGCTACATATCTTACCTCATATTTCCATTATCAAGGTCGAGCACATCTTAAAATAAAAAACTGGACTTCTGTACGCTGGAATTTTAATAACCCATACCTCCACTTGAAAAATACTCCAGAAAAACAACTGAGTTGTGTTTGAGATGAAATTTTGAGTTGGGATAGCTCCAATTATCTCAGCTCCAGAGTTGAGATAACTCCAAAAGGTGGAGGTAGAAAAATGCAATCCTTGATTTTGTATCTCATAGACTCATACTATGATTCTTCTCAAAGTCAGGTATGTCTTAAAATAAAAAACTGGACTTAGAGGCCTGTATGCTGGAGTTTGTATAACCTATACCTCCACTTGAAAAGTACTCCAGGTATCTAAACTCTATTTACTTTCTGGTCTTAGAAGAGAATAACTTGCTTAATGTACTTAATATGTGACATGGATGGTAAAACTTCATCTTCTCGTACAATTGGTTTCTTGTTGCCCTTTTTCTAGTTTTGTCCTGGGGACTTAGTTGCTGGTTACAGAGACCTGCTTCTTAAACTTTGTTTCAAAGTTGCTTGTGTTTTTAAGCTTATAATTTTCATGAGCAGATTAGTGTTATAAATGTTAATCACATGAAATGCCTTAATTGTTAAGGATATAGTTTTTGACCATACATGATTCATGAGGAATTTCATCAAGTACCAATTGTTAGGTAGCAGTGCTCGGAGGGTGATAGGCTGATAGTGAATTCTATCTCTTACCTCGATTTTAGGTAAGAAGAGTGGCTTACTAGTTATTACTGTTCCATTGCCTGTGCTATGTAAATGATGAAACATTGAATTTTGATCCTCCTTAGGATATTTCATCAAGTACCAATAGTTAGGTCGCAGTGCTCGGAGGGTGGTAGACTGATAGTGAATTCTATCTCTTACCTTGATTTTAGGTAAGAAGAGTGGCTTCCTAGTTATTATTGTTCCATTGCCTGTGCGATGTAAATGATGAAAGGTTGAATTTTGATCCTCCTTCGTTATTTCTCTCATGGCCTCTGCTTCCTTTTCACACTTTGTACTTGTTACTTACAGGTGTATTGCCACACACAGTGGATAATAGGCCAGATAAGGTCAGTAATGTATCAGAAAAGATGGAGAATAGCCTGGAAAAGGCCAGCATTAGTCCAGAAAAGGCAACTCCTAAGTCTGATGATGAAGAAAGTGGATTTAAATGTGCTGACAAGATCAGCAGCAGCGAATGAAATTAATTCACTGCACGGTTGAGTTGCTTTTCTGTGAACTTCAGGCAGATTTATTTCCAGGTTTGGAACTGCTTCTTGTCTTTGGTCATTTTTTACTTGTCTTTGGGCATTTTTAAGTATATATGGGTTAATTGCGGATAGTTGCATGTACTATCACCCAATTGTGGATAGAACCCCATTGTTCTATAGTTGTAGATAGACCCCCTGATTGAATTTTATTTTCTTGACTCTTTTACCTTAGAGATGGTAAAAGAATCAAGAGTTTTCACTCAGGGAGTCTATCTGCGACTGTCAAACTGCCGGAGGTCTATACGCAATTGGGTGATGGTACAGGGGGCCTATCTGCAATTAATCCTATACTTCAGTTACCTATATCCTCACCAGACAATAGTAGATGTCCAAATGCTTGAACCATGTTCTTTTATCTAGGATGCTTGCTTGTATCGACTAAACAATTTTGGATAGACTGGTGCTACGGGTACATTTGGAGTCATCATTGCGTGATTCCCCAGACCCCCTCGAACCGTTGTACAATTCCTACGAACTGATTCCTGGTACATTTGCGAACCGATTCCCTCCAATGCATGAACTGGTTCCCCAAAATTAGCATATACCACTTACAAGTATGCTAGATGCAAAGTCTCTTTAAGTGCACATGCGCAAGATACAATGTAATATGTACAATTAAGTGAATGGAGACACAATAGTGTGTAGGAGCCGATGACTTTACTGTAACTAAACACGTATATTAATTAAATGTAAAACGAAATGATGATCCTAAAACGAGCTCTGTGAAAAAAAAACATAACAAAGAAACAAACTCCATCAAAAAGAAGTATTTAAGTATTTTGTATGAAAAAATATTAAAATTCATATTAGCTTTCTAGTTTTCTGCTATATACTGTGGAAAAATTTAAGTGCACCCTAAAATTTTTTACAACATATCACTAACCGAACTTGCTTACTGAAGTAAGCTATCCTCTAACGAATCCAAATTTTCTAAGTGGCGAGTTGCGTACCTGAATTCGTACCGTGACTATGATTTGGACACTTTTTATACATATTAAGGATATATACATATTTAAAAAAAGTTTGATGCTTGAACAATAGAATTCAAGATGCATTGATATTTTTTTCCTTTCTTTAATAAAGACCATGGTTTACACTGTGGTTTGTCATGTATTTCAAAATTTCAACTTTTGTTCCACAAAGAGCAATGACATAAACATGCATGCAGGTTTATCCCTGCCAAATTATATTCCGATTTTCCAAAAGCACTAATTTTATGTCCTTAATTCATGATACTGTGTTTTGTTTTGTAATTCAGCAAATTATGTTGGTAACTGGTTTGCCGGTAAGGATGTCGTTGTGCTGAACTTTGCTGAACTTTGTATATCGCACTTTCCATAGCAGATTATTGTTGAATTATTCATTTTTATATTTCTTCTGTTTCAGGCTTTTGTGCTTTAATTCACTGCTAGTTATCCATGAATCTGTGATAATATTTTAGCACCGCAACTATAATTGAATCTCCTTTTTTGTGCAGATTCTGCTTCACTGTAAATATCCATGTTCTGGTCCGCCAGGGTTGTACATATTCAAGAAGAGTGGTTCTAGTGCAGCCAACTCAGAAAAATAATGAGACAAATAACGTCTTCTTAGATCCATGCTTACGAAATGTATTATGTATTGTAAACTGTTTGAAAGTTGTAATGCAGGATATTTATTGTACAGAGAAGCGGTTAATTTATTTACTTATCGTTTTCTCTACGAATTTTAATTGTTGCAAAATGACCTGGCTGACTACATAGGCGTGGGGAAAAGTTGCTTTCTAAAAGTTCTTACCGCTGCAGATGTATCATGTTTGTCCTGAATATTGTTTTCTGTTACACAGAATCTGCAGAGTACTGATAAGCATAGTGTCACGTCCTCCATGATTGTGTTTTCTGTGATAGAGAATCTGAAGAGTACTAAAGGGCTTACTCTAGGGTCCGTTGGCTCTGCCAGTTGTTTTCTTAGGGGCTGTTTGGTTCCCTATTATAAGGGGTGAAAAACTCAGAAAATCTCTCCACGTCAGATTTTTAGCCCTCCACGTCAGCTTTTTTGTTTCCGTCCATTTCTTTGTGCCGTTTTGGTTCGCTTGAATAGAAGAGGGAAAACTCTGCTGAAATCGCCGCCAACTAAGATTTTTTTCCCTCTCCGATTTCCTTCCCCAACCAAGTGAACTTGATGAAAACTCTGCCACGTCAGATTTTTTTCCTTCTCTGCTTTGTTTACAAAATTTTTTCTTTTTTTTTCTATGCGAACCAAACACAAGAAAAATAAATACATTGGTTTCCCACCATTTTTTATGTGCGAACCAAAACAAAACAATCTATTTCTTGGAAAAGTTTGAAAAACTCAAAACTTGTGTTTCTTTACATGGAATTGTATTTTTCTATATCAAGGAAACGAACCAAACAGCCCTTTAATTTAGTGCCAAATTTAAAGATTAGCAAACTAATCATTTTTTGTAAGAGCAAATGGCTAACATATCAAATTGGCTTAAAAAATGATACTATTTTACCACTTTGGTCTAAAAAGTGATACTGACAACACTTTAATCTAAAAATTGATAAATTGACAACACATGGACCTTTTTGAAAATAGCCGGAGACAGATTTTAAGCTAAGTATTAAGGGATTTTTGCCCATATATAGACCCCTCAATCTCCTATATTTTTTCGATTGACCCCCTGCCTCCTCTCCAAGTTTCAATCTGAAGCTCTGACTCCAAGTTTCAATCCATTTTTAAATCTGACGAGGAGTGTTCTCCACGAAATTGTTGAGCACCTAGCAGCTATGACATCAAAGAAGGGTGCAGGAGAGAATCACAGCAACAATGGTGGTGTTTAGCGGACACTTGTTTTATATTTTTGTGTTTGAGTCAAACTCTTGTTATGTTGATTCAGTTATGGTCTATTTTGGCTCAATTATGTACCTCTTTTGATGTTTAAATTGTGGCTATGTTGGTATTTTGTGAAAAATGTCCCTACTCGGTGTACTTGGTGTATGTTCATGTGAAATTGGGAGTATGCACAAGTTATCTACATATTTCTGTACACATATTTGACTCAAATTACTTTGTACACATACACCTTGCATCCTTGAACACATATACATTGCATCCACATACACATTGCATCGGTATACACAATATGCGAGCCACAGTTGCAAACATCACATAACCAAATCCAAAACGAAATCTGGTTTTCATAAATTTGGGTCCATTTCCAAATTATAACAAAAACAAGCAATTTTTACAAAATCCATCATCCCAAATACAATCAGCATTATTGATCACAAAATACAACCAAATCACAATGATGAAACCAAATACAATATAAATTCTAAATGCTAAACTTTCCTTGTGCTTTGATCATCTTTCTCTCTCAAATATGCCTCCAATCCTCCTAACTCTTTTTCAGTGATGAAATTGCTCCACAATAGCACAACCTCGTCTCCTTGTCCTCAGCTCCGCCATAACTTGAACGAGCACTTGAAACTCGAGAGGTTGACTTCATGGTTGCTAGGATTGAAATAGAGAAGATTAAGATTGGATTCGGAGAATTAGGGTTTTTTATATTTTTATTTTCTTGGGGAAGAACACTAAGAAATTTGGGAATTTAGGGTTAAAATAGAATGATAATTTTTTTAAAAGAGATGGGTAAGTATAAGCAGTAAATAATGCAAACAATAGCTTTAAGTTCTATTCAAAATATGCATATGACAAGCACATGAGCATATTCCTTAGAATATTCTTTTTTTTGTTAGCGGAGGGTAGTAATTTACTACACGAGAGAATTTTTATGGTATTTTTCTATAGAAAATTATGACTTATGATATTTTTGCGCTACACAATGTAAACGTATCTTTATGTCATTTAACCTTTTAAATAAGTCATTTTAGAGAGGGAGTTGAAATCCCAAACCCGTGTATTTCAAATTTCACCACGGGGTTGGGTATTTGTCAAATCCGGAACCGGCTCTCTTCTTCCCACCCTCGCTTGTTTCCCGAACTCGACGATCGCAGGTAATCTCCCCCGAACTCTCTTCTTCTCACACGTGCACGCAGACACACACACTTGCCTATAACTATATACATACATGTCTACACATGTACTTAAATTCAATAAAAATCCGTTGAATGATCAAAATCAAAATTACTAAAAAGAATGTGTTAATCCCTTGAACTATCCTAGAGTTTCCCCTTGAACTAAACTATCCTTGATTTTTAACGAATCCTTTGTCTGTGTCTACTTTATATACACATATATCCTATGCTTACAGTTGAAAACAAAGGGCTTATTTTAGGGTTTACTGGCTCTGCCCCTTGCTTTCTTAATTTATTAGGGCCAAATAGGGAGATTAGCACACTAATCATCCTTTTCTAATAATAAGAGCAAACTAAACACTCGTTCCCTCGCGGTTGAAAGAGGCGAAAGCTCGTCCGGATGGGAAAAAACCCGCGGCTTTCCGATCGGGTCATTGATTTAAGACGACATGGATCGGGCTTGCTTGGGCAGACCCTAAACCCTAAACCCGCTTAAACAGCGTACCTCCCCTCTCGGTCCCCCTTCTAGAAGTCGGCCCCTCTCTCTTTCTCTCTCTCTCTCTCTCGGAGCGATCTGACTCGCCGCAGCGATGGAGGTCGCTGGGGGTCCATCGGCCGGCGTTGAGGCGGCCAAGATCAGAACCAGAAGTCAGGCTACGGCGCAGGAGCAGGCTAAGGTGGCGTACGCGCTGAATCGGGCGGTTCATGCGCAGCTAAACCTAGAGTCGGTCAAAACCCGGGCTGTTGGCCTCTTCAACGCCATTTCCCGGATCCTGGAACACATCGATGTCTATTCCCGCTCCAATTCGCTCCCCAAATGGTTATACCATTCCCCCTTGTTCCAGGGTTTAATTTTTTTATCGTGCTCCGATTTTCCAAGAAAAATAAAAAAAAAGAGAGGGCTAAATGTGTTGGTAATTAGAGAGGAAAAGAGTCTTTCTTGGCCACATTGAGGACACGCACAATTATAAACACGTGTTTGTTTGTTTGCTTGCTTGCACGACAGGCAGGAGACGTTAGGGCAGTTCTCAATGGTGAATATGGAGCTGTTCAACATCGTAGAAGACATAAAGAAGGTTTCCAAGCCGTTCGTCGTGCATCCCAAGAACGTCAATGGGGAGAATGCCGCAAGTATGTATACAATGCTTTTGTTTGTTTCTCCCAAGTCTGAGCTGATTGCTTCCTGTGGAGCATTTCGAAAAAAGCTAAAACGGAGTATCATATTAAATAGCGGGTTCAAACTTGATGAATTTAAGATGTAGTCTCAGTTGAGTATTGGACAACAAATTTTCTGTCTTGGATGTCAATTATCAAGAAATCAGTTGCTGAGAGCGTAGTGGGGACAGTGGAGGTGTTCATGGGGGGGCGTGAACAACAACTATCATATGTCCTAGACTTGCGGTAGCTACTGGCATACTAGACCCTACCCTTGCGGTTCTCATATATTATGGGTGTTCCATGATAGCTTTGCTAGTAGGATGATGGCATCGAGCACAAAATTTGAAATTTGATGTTGTCATGAAGAAACATATATTATGACCATTTTGCAGAAACCGGGGATAATACAAATGGGTGACAAAATGAATAAAGACCTTCTGGGACAGGCCATGGTCTGGCATGTATAACATGGGAGAGTATCAATCTCTTCAGGGGGCTATCAGATCTAGATCACACTTGGTGGAGGTTGAGCAATCTGTGAGTGGTATTATCAAGACTCAAGATTAGTCTTCTAGAAGATGCATCATCAACTGATTGAGATCTTTGACATAGCTGAAGCTTAGACTCGCTCTTAATTTTTAGTTGACAGATTTGTAGTATTTATAGGCGTCCAGCCATATGATCTACGTAGTGGGTGGTTTTAAAATATTAACTTATATTCGTGGTTTATCTTTCTACTACTCACATCAGCAGATGGTAAATGAATTTTCAGTACACCTTTTTGGACCTTATCAAGAAGGGGTTCAAAAAAAGGCTATCGGCGCGGATAGATATGAATTCCTACATTGTATTATATCGTTTCTATATAACTGATCTGAATTTATTTCTGCCCATATCAATTCATTCATGTTTAACTATTTCATTTCCTCCAACAGTTTCTTGTTTCTACATTGTTATCACCTTTCTGATTTTCTCTACGGAAAAATACCCTGATTTGCAAGCATAATTGTTGCAGTACTACCTGTGATGTTATCGTCAAAGTTGTTACCCGAAATGGAAGCAGAGGACAACACAAAGAGGGAGCAACTATTAAGCGGGATAACAAATCTCCCTGTAACCATGCAAATTGAAAAGCTCAAGGTGATCTTTGGATTAGAGCTTGCTTTGTACTCAATGTATCTGTTGTTTATCCTTTACCCTCATGCTTCCTAACTCCTACTAACCATAAGTGAGTCAGGCTAGAATTGATATGATTGCTGCAGCCTGCGACACTGCTGAAAAAGTCATAGCTGATGCTCGCAAACAATATGGGTTAGGTTCACGCCAAGGGCCAAGCCTTGTTCCAACCTTGGACAAGGTGCAGGCTGCGAAAATTCAAGAACAAGAGAATATGCTTCGGAATGCAGTGAATTTTGGCGAAGGTGTCACTTTCACATACTATATTTTCCTTACAGATACCCATGATACTTCCGATTTATATATGCTTCTGATGTGGTTGTGAGATCACTTCCTTTTTTTATTTAATAGAGAAAAAATTGTGATTGTTCAGGATTACGAACTGGGAGTCAGAGAGAACTTCCATCTTCTCTTCCTAGTCATTTAGTTGATGTGCTCAATTTTGGTGATGGTCCACAGAATCATGGAGGAGATAATTCTGGTAAGTTGTGTATAAAGTTTTGCTTTCGGAGAAATTAGTTCCTCTGGATTACAATCATTAGTCAACGCACCCTGGCTTTTATCGTTATAAAAAAATATTCCACAATTTGATTTATCTATTCTGTATTAAGCTCTTTGCTACTGAACTTTCATTCACCTATACAGCAGAAAACTGCTTCATGGTATTGGTTTGACTATTGTTGCAGGCATGCTCCAAAAGGGTACACCCCCTTTCTCAGCTGGCAATGTCAACCCTCAAGGAGCTATAATGCAGGTCTTTCACAAAATATGTGATGTGAAATTGTTACAAAGTATTGATAAACTTGTTTCATTTATGTTGTTTTATTGTGGAATAAAATTATAATTTATTCTCATTGCTTACTGCTTTGTCATTTATGTATTATTTGGTTGCTTTCTTGTTAACTGATTGATGATTCTTTTGGTAGTTTCTCTCTCATCTCTCTCCTTGTCTTGGACATTTCAAATTTGATCATAGTTTCATTCTGAAGGAAAAATGAAAATTCATTTGACACATTTTTTTTTAGTATTTACAATTTAGTTCTAGTGATGGTTTGTATTGGTACTATGTTCATATCGTCTATTAGGGTTTGCACAGTTTCCATAATTTGTTTAGTGTCTAACTTCATGTAGAGTTGCTATGACTTTTGTTGGATTCCTTTGTTTGGTGAGGAAAACCAGTTGTCACTTGGTTTAAGATTTAGAAACCCTCTGATGTTTTTATTTGTGGATTACAAACATGATTTGATTTTGTTTACAAAACTATCAGTTTCTGAATTTTTGTGCATCAGGCTGGGACGGGCCTAATTCAGTTGGAGGTTTGAGCACATTAATCGACTCTGCATTTCGCTTTTTTCCTTCTAATAATATGATTTTTTCATATTGACTGTTTATTTTTTGCTAGAAGATTTTTCTTTTCAATAAATGTGAACTAATGTCCATTATTTTCTCTTTTAGGGTATCTTGGCAGTTAAAAATCCAGACTATTTATTTCATACCATATGTTCGCTTCTATAGATTATATGCCCAATATATATTTTTTTCAATTATCAGTTACTTTCTTTAGTAGGTATCTGCTTAGTTAGGGAGGTACGAGTTCAAAATGTTCGTTCTCATATGCAAAATTATTCTTAGCTGGCCAACATTATTATCTTTCTATGATATCTGATGGAATATCGAGAGTTTCTGTGGGAGATTTTGGTTTCTGTTCTGAATTTCACGCTGTTAGTAGATTTATTGTCCGGTGAAAGCTTTTAACAAAATACTATATAAAAGTTTTAGTTTACCAGTATTGCAATGGCAACAGGAAAAATAGAATCTTTGTATTTGTAGGGCTCTAATTGTCAATCTCAAAGTTTTTCGCCTTTTTCACTCTGAAAGTTATAGTGTTCTTATTCATCTCTATAAAGGCCAATTATTCCCGTCCCAGAAGTGAAGCTGGAAGTTGTCACTCTTATAGAGAGTAAAACAAAGAGCTCAACGGCTCCACACAGAAGGGAGTAGTTATTAAGCAGAAAAATTTTCTGCAAACTTATTTACGTAAAAGAAAGAAATGCATTGTGGGCGGTCTACAAAAGAAACTTCAGTTTGTTAAAAGGGTGCTTTACATATGCACACTTTGGAATGCTAATTTAAGTTGCAGCCTAAATTTTTCCATGATAATTTTCATGCTCAAAGGTGGTGTCTCCTCCATTTATAGAGGACCATTTATAGATCTCTTTGATGGGGGCTAGTAGTTGATCTATCCCCTTGTAAGGAATTCAAGCAAACTGCAATGTGGTTTTTTCTTGTCCCCTATGTGCCGTAACTTCCCTGTGGTCATTTCCTAAGGATGTATTGTCAAACTTTCTAGTTTTTCCGCGATGAAGTTTTTTCACGATCTTGGAGGATTAAGTCATATCTCATGGATGGGTCGTAGAAGAAACCGTGTAGAAATATATTAATATCCACTACCTTCTATGACCAGCAGGATGTTTGTGTCTTCCTTTTTTTACTTTCATTCATCTTGTTCCTAGGATCTTCTTCTTGTTCCAGGTTGATTGTTTTTATATGTTTTCTTTATTTTCAACTATTTATTTTCTTTTAACATCTGTGTTATAGGAATTATACCTAATAGGTACAGTGATGGTTTCTTATGCTTAAACAATGCATTTTAGGTGTTAATGGGACCAGTAAACATGCAGACTAGGTAGCCGAAGTGTTATACAAGCACTCATGCAGATCGAGATAGTGATCTTAGTTGCAATTTGTTTTACAGAATACGACCTATTTTCTTGCAGGGGACTAGCTATATATTTTACACTATAACACTATTTCTCATCGGTTTGATAAATATAGTTGATGCTGTGTAGGCTATTCTTTTGAATGTGAACTGCTCAGAAGATTCTAAGTTAAAGCACTTTGTGAAACGTTGTAGCATTCACTTTTCTAATACGTGGTTTTAGCTGCAGAACTCTGGAGCGCAGTTAATAGGAAGATCAGTTGCATCCCCCAGCGGTGGACCTGCTTCCTTTGATAATGCATCAACGCCTCCTCTTCAATATGCTAATTCACCTCGATCAGGCACGAACATGATGAATACACCATCTCCTCAGCAGCAACAGCAAAGACAGAAAATGATGCAAATTCCTCAGCATCAACTCCTTGCTCAGCAGCAGTTGAGGCAATCTACAACTGGAGTGCTGGGACAGGTTAAAAACCTTCTCTTCTTTTTATTCCCTTGTTGTAAGCTTGAACTGTTTAGTTCTTGGATTGTCATTGTCATCATTATCATTTAGTGTTTTCCTATTAAACGGGTTGAATTGTGGAGGACTTCATTCGAGTATCGCAATTACCAATTGTCAACCAACCGGACATCAAACCCTATGGAGCTGTTTGGATGATTTTGTAAAAATTGAGGATTTGTGACACAATCTGGAAAGTGACATCCGCCTTTATGACTTTTATCTTGAACTTTTTCCTTTGTTTTGCTTGGAATGCACTGGATTTACAACGAAATCCTATCATTTTTGAGTGATTTTGATTTGAGGAGTTAGAGGTGAGATACATCATCATTTTCATGCTTTCAAAAGATGCAGCGAAACAAAGAAAAGTTGGGAAAGTTACTTCTGGACCACCACAATTTATCAACTTTCCAACTTTTTCCTTCAGAATACATGCAACCAAACAGACTCTAAGTAAGAAACAATTTCTGCCTAAGGAAACTGTTGAAAAGAAATGCACCGCCACAAGTTTCTTATGAAATGCTTCCAGTCCATCCATGCAATAAAGGCAAAATTTGGTGTTTATAACTGGGCTGTTTGTAAATTTCACTGCCTGGACAACCTGAGTGCATGCTATTTCCCTGCAATCTTGATACTGCTGCTATATCAAATCCGTTCAAAAATCTGCATCACTGGATGAAGCGAAGTTGTGTATGTTGTTCCTCCCCACTAAAAAAGGCATTATGTCTGACCTCACAGGACTGCTCATTCATTTTGATATTTTTTTGGGCAGTTCTCAATTTTGATCTCTGCTTATTAAATATAAAATATGCTTAGATGAGCAACGTTATGTATTTTTCTGGTTGCAGAGCAGTATGTCTCAGCTACATGATTTACAGGCACAAACTCAGCAAAAGTTTCCATCGGTATTTTGCTAAACCATTTTTTTCTAGGGTTTTGCTTAAAAGTTTATTTTTGTAATGCATATTTTCAGCTTCATAAATGTTACTGGTTTACAAATATTCATTAACTTAAAATTTTCTTTATCTTAGGTACCTAACCAGCTTCCGATGCAATATTCTCAGCCCCTTGCACAGCAGCAGTTTCAGAACAGACAATTACAACCTAGTCATATGCAGCTTAATATGGCACAGAATCAGATCAACCAAGGAAATCAGTTAAGGAGCCATTTGGGACAGTTTGCGGGATCTGCTAACAGTGCTCTGTTCAATGCTGCTCAGTCATCTCCCAATTCTCAGATGGTTAGATAATTTTACAGTTTCATCATCTTATTAGCAGGATAGAAATGTGCACACGTGTGTTTATGTGCTTTTATGCTCATTATTCTTCAACCATCTTCTAAGGATTCATCGAAGAATCCCTTTTGTCCTATATCAAACAGCTTCTCACTTTGCAGAATTAATCTAAAACTGGTGTTTGTTAATGCTGTTATAGTGTAGTGTATAGTCTTGTACATTGTTTAGCATGGATATATTATTTTTGTGTTTTTAGTGTGTATTTGTACAGTATCTAATTGCTTTGTGAGTTTGGTTTGTCCTTAAGGTCAGTTTATGTGGACGTCAACCACCTCATGTTGTGGTATTGAGCCCATCATGAAGAAGGACAAGATAGTAATTTATCATTTCTAGAAGACGTAGATTTTTTATAAAGTACTTGTTCGTACTTCTTCCAAAGATAGTAATTTATCATTCTTAAAGAATTTATTATCTTTAGGAACCTTCTTTGAAAAAGTTATACTATTGGCAATCTCATATCTCATTCATTGCAGATAACCAACATGTCAGCTACAATGCAGTCACAATCACTTTTACCACGAATGCAGGTCAGTTTTTTTTTTTGGCATGTGAATTCTGTTTACTATCTAATGACTTTGTGCTTCATAACTCTAGAAGATTCTAATACATAACGTTTCTGGATGAGATCTTTCCATTCTTTGTTCCTTTCTGGCTACTTAGTGATTATTTAGTTATTAATCTTTTTGAGATGAAATTGTTTGTTGATCAATATACTATCCAAAGCAGCTCTCTCCGTATGTCATAGAGCGAATTTGAAGTTTTTGACTAAGGTGAAATTGTTATGTGCTAGCTTAATTTTCTGCTGTTGCTATGCTTTGGACAAAATTGCTTGGTAGTTTCTGCCTTGCTGTCTCATAAATCCTGTTTACCAAGTGTTGTGTAATCTATTTAATTCAAGAATCACGATGTCCTTATAGGTAAAGCCTGCTTCCTGTGTCCCAAGTGATTATTTTCAATAGTTATAATAAGTAAATGGTCGTGATTGAGATTGAGAAAGATTTGTCAATAGAATTAAAAAGGAGGATTGAAGTGTTTCAATTACTATCTGACTTGAATATAACCTTGGATTTGCAGTGAAATTTTAGACGACGACAACTTAGGAGGATAGATAAAGACATTATGTTTTTAAAAAATAGTGAATTTGAACTGGCGATATTGAGATAGATGAGCAACTAATAATAAAAGACAGGATATTATGACGGAAAATCAGTATATTTTGTAAAAAGTAAGAGTACCTTCAACTTAGGATAATATTTGTGCGATCATTTGAGATGGTTTGACATCTGCAGTAATGGCTAACAGTCCAATACTATCATTGTTGGTGTTACTAAGACACCAAAGTGAACCTGGAGAGGTACAGATTAGGTGCAAGGACAACAAGCTGATCCTTCATAAGCTGAATGGGGAGAAAAAATTGAGTTTTGCACTTTGCAGCCATCCCCTAATTTCACGGGTCCTTAAATTTTGATAATGATTCATGTTATTCGTGCCTATATGAACAATTTATTCCCCTGGATATGAACAATTTATTCCCCTGGATATTTTGGTATCTTATTCATTCAATGAAATCTATCACCACATAATAGTCAAAATTTGATTCTCATGGTTAACATGATGTGTTCCAGTTCCAAGATTTCTTTTTACTAGATTTATATTATTCTCAATGTTGTTCCATCTCTTGCTTGCTTTTTGTCCAACGATGTAATTCATACAAAAACTCCCTTTATGAAGTATTAACTAATTTTTGTTTACCAATTTTAACAACAAACACTTCCTTTATTGAGTATTAACTAATTCGACTTGTCATGTACGCTACATTAGTTTCCATCATCTTGGATCTTAGATGTTGATATTGTCCCTCAACATAGTAGGTTATGCTTTCTTGACAAAGTTAAGATTCTTGAATAAGAAATGAGTGATTGACAAATGTATTCTTGATTAGAATGGATTGAGAGACAGGATCAATAGACTGTTGGGAGAAGGTTTAATGATTATGGTTGTTGGGAAGCACTGACTATCGAAATTTAAATGATGCTCAACTTCTATTATTGTCTATTACTAGCTTCCCTTTTTCTATTATTTGTTGTTTAACAGTGAAAATTCATGTATTTCCTTTTCGATATTGTTTGTATAATAATGATATTCTAATGCATCATGTTTTATTTGGCCCCTGCAGACGTTTGGTTTATCTGGTGGACATCCTCAAAGAAATCATCCTTCACAGATGTTAAATGATCAAAGTATGTGATACATGTTTATCCTTTTCTGGTAAAATCATATTTTCCTATGTTTTTACATATTCCTACTGGTTGGGAATAAAAGCCTAATTGTTGTTGTTGTATGTTATCAACTCTTATTTCACATTGAAACATTATTTCTTTATCCTTTTTTTCATGAATTTATATTTTTGTATTGTCATGGCCATGTTCACATACATTACTAGTTTGGAACAGAGACTTCACTGTTGTATTTTACCGGGGCCTTCTTTTATATCAAGCACTGTGGCAGCACTCTGGCATCATTTTGTATTCATGCTTTTCATCCCTTTGACAAGCTAAACCTATAATAATTAGTTAGAAACAAGCTCTCTTTTTGACCCATTGACTCATTCAAAAATTAAGTCTGCATTATGTTTATTTATTATTTTAAAGATCAGTCTAGGCGCCTTCTTTGTCAGCCACTTAAGCCTAAGTTGCACTCAGGTTGTTCGCTTAAGTCGTAGGAGCGAGTATGGGCGCATGCGCCTGACTACACGACATCAAAAAGGGTATATTGCTCGTTTAAACATAGTTAGAGGTGAAGAGAATGAGCCAGGTCAAAATGGATCGGATGAAAACTCTACATCCAAGCCATCTCAGTTAAAAGAGTGAGGAGACGATTTTGAATCATTAGAAATAACCCATCGTCTCTCGATGCTAAAAACGCCTACGTGGCGCATGAGCGCCCGCTTAGGCGCATAGGCGCTAGGTCTACCATCGCCAAGGAGTGCACAGTGCTTTCTGAACATTGTGTTTATCATTAGCTCAAAACCATTAACGTTAAGTTTTTTGGTAAATTGGCGATAAATGCATGGTATAAGAGAACCGAGTTCGATAAAGACTTGATTTCCTACCTTGTCTTTGTTAATTAAAAAACTTCATTAAATGCAAATATTCCACTTTCCAACTTGGTCATTCTTATGCAAGACGTCTTTGCATATGAGTGATGGCAGCTAGATAGGGGCCTACGTGCCGCTTGAGGGTCTGCCTAGGTGTCTAGGCGCTTAGGTGCTAGGCTCTAGGTCTAGCACCCAGAAGCATCTAGAGCTTTCTAAAACATTGTATTTATCATTTGCTCATAACTATTGACTTTTTTGGTACATTGGTGATAAATGTATGGTATTAAAATGCCAAGTTTTAGAAAAGACTTGGGTTCCAACATTGTCTTTGTCAGTTAAGAAAAAGGTTCATTAAATGCGTATATTTTACTTTCCAACTTGGTCATTCTTATGCTAGAGGTCTTTCCATGTGAGTGATGTCACTTGATGGGGTCTATGTGCTGTTGAGCGGCAACCTAGATGCCTTGATGCTAGGTGCTAAGTCTAGCACCCAGAAGCATCTAGCTCTTTCTAAAACATTGTGTTTATCATTAACTCATAACCATTAGCTTTAAGTTTTTTGATAAATTGACGAGAAATGTATGGTATGAGAGCACCGAGTTTCTAAAAAGACTTGGGTTTCAACCATATCTTTGTCATTAAATGCATATATTCTACTTACCAACTTGCTCATTCTTATGCAAGAGGCCTTTCCATATGAGTGATGACCTTTTGATGGGGCCTACGTGCCGCTTGAGGGCCCACCTACGCTCTAGGTGATAGGCGCTAGGTCTAGCACCAAGAAGCGTCCCATGCTTTCTAAAACATTTTGTTTATCATTAGTTACGTTTTTGGGCAAATTGGCGATAAATGTGTGGTATGAGGCTACTAAATTTCAGAAAAAACTTGGGTTACAATCCTATCTTAAGTTTCAGAAAAGACTTGGGTTCCAACCCTATCTTTGTCAATTAAGGAAAAAGTTTGTTAAATATGTATATTCTACTTCCAACTCGGTCATTGTTATGCAAGAGGTCTTTCCATGTGAGTGATGGCTGCTTTATGATGGCCTACGTGCCGCTTGGGCGCTTCCCTAGCCGCTAGGGCTAGGTGCTAGGTCTAGCACTCAGGAGCATCTAGCGATTTCTAAATATTGAGTTTATCATTAGCTCATAACCATTAACTTTTTAAGTTTTTCCTGTAAATTGTCGACAAATGTATGATATGAGAGCACCGAGTTTCAAAGAAGATTTGAGTTTCGCTGTTATCTTTGTCAATTAAAAAAGGTTTATTTAATGCGTATATTCTGCTTTCCAACTTGGTCATTTTTATGTCCACTCGATGCAAGTGATGCCCACTCGATGGGGGACTATTAAGCTTTCTTGATTTATGTTGTTTAACTCGTAACCCAGCGGTTGAAGCTTTTATATAGAGTGATCTAACATTCATTTTTCATAGGGGAAAACATTAGATAAATCAAGGACTTGGAATTACTCTCCAGTGCTGTTTCTAATCAATTAAAAGTGCAAACTTATTCTTAGATAAATTGATAGGTAAATGCTTCTGTAGAGTTCCAATATCAATTTTGCAAGATCCTTGAGAGCTTGTTTGATAGAGAGAAAAGGTCCCCTTTTATCCTTCAATTGCCTTTGAAGCAAAGAAGAGTATCTTTTTGAAATATAATGGATTCAGATTCTGAAAGTTATTCTTAGGGGGAAAAAGCTTTATTCACGTATGAATTAAACTTGACACCCAAATCTTTACCATATCAAGGAAATTCTAATGTGAACTCAGATATGGTTAGGTAGAATAATATTCATTGGCAAACTAATAGATACATATAATTGGTTATAAGCTATGTAACCCGGACACGTCATCTAGGTTCTTGCATTCGCGTCCGTGTCAGTCACTTCTTGGATGCTTCTTAAGCAAGGTTTTAAATATCGGTTATCGGGGATTTATCGGACGGACAAAATCCTTATCGGATAGCGGAAATCGGGGATATATCGGGGATAAGTAGTATTTATCGGAGTGATATACTGGATGATGTGTATATATAATATAACAATTAAAAAATATAATCTAATCATGCTTAATGAAATATAAACATACCAAAATATAAATCATCATGTTTAGAATCACTAACAAATTGTAGAAAGCGAAACTTGCATCATAGCCTTGAAAAAAATATAATGTTAGTCAAAATGGGCCGATAATCCCGATAAAAAAGTCTTACTTATCGGCCGATAAGTGCTGATAACGCCGATAAATCGCCGATAAACCTACAAAAACGATAACCGATTAAAAATCCAATTTATCCTAGCGGAGAGCTCCCAAATCCGATAACTCAGCCGATAATATCGATTATCGGCCGATATTTAAAACAGTGTTCTTAAGTATATATACATACATTTATGCAGATGTTTACTCAATTATTTTAGTTTAAAAAACTCGTGATACACTTCTTGAATGTATATCGTACGCTTCATCTCAAATTTATGCAACTCTGAAACTAGGGATAGGTTCATTTTAGCACCTAACTTGTTCATAAGTATGATTTTAAAGGGTCATTTGAGAATCTAATTTTAAAAACGAGTGGTTTTCCCATTTTGTTTTTAAAGGGTCATTTGAGTACCTACTCAATTAAAGAAATATAAAAATGTTATAAGGATTTTAATTCTCATGACATGTGAATGAAAAACAATATCGATCTCATATAGATTATTAATTTTAATATGTTGTCTATATAGTTGTGTCCCCGTATCCTAAATTTTACAATTTTGTTGTGTTTCTTGTCCGCATCCGCGTTCTTGTCCGCATCTGCCTCCGTATCCATGCAACTTAAGTTATAAGTTTCTCGGTTCCATTTTGTTTTTGCTCCTGTCTGGTAAGATAGATGCATGTTGGAGCAGTTTAAATATAATCAAAGGAGTAAGGACATCGAATAGCCTAAAAATGAAAAAGTTCATATGATTTCATTTACCACTAGATCCACACCTTAAGATTAAGAAATGAACAAAGAGAGATGAATTAAATTCATTTACCCAGAAATCCACATCTTAAGAAATGAACTAAAATAATATGAATTAAATTTACCCAGAGATCCACATGTTTGAGAAATGAACCAAGAGAACTATGGTCTGGAGCCTAAAAACATTTTAAAAAAAATCAAACTGATGATGTTAATTGAGGTATATAGATCATTCAACTCTTGTACGCCAATTTTTCCTTTGGTTTAGAATAATTCTAGACCATAGATATAAACAACCTGCTATAAAATATCGTCCATTTTGGGCCATTGGATGTGAAACAAAAAAAAACACTTTTTTTTTAATTATCGATTTTAGATACTGAAGATTGTTGCATGCGCACATATGTTACTGAAGAATGGAGCTTAATACGCCAATGAGAATATTGTGGTTGGCATTGTTAATGAGATAGTGAACATTTACTGCTTGATATGCTCTTATGGCCCTTGGAGCCAGAAGTAGCATTGCTTTTTCAGGCATTTCCTTTTCTCTTTCTTGCCACCATTAAAGCCTATCCCATAATGCATTCTGCCCCTTGGCTGATTTATTTTGATGGGTAATAAACGCTGAGAAATCTTTGTTATTATTGTTATTTCAGTGTTTGGCATGGGTGCTTCAAATCCAGCTAGCATGGTAGCAATGCAACAGCAGCAAGGCGGCTTTGGTAACATGACAAATGCCCAGAGCTTGCAACAGAGCATGGTTGGCCTTCCAAATACGGCACAGAATCCAAACTTTTCGCAGCAAAGGCAGCAGAATCAGCAATAATCCCCTGACTGAAGACCAACACCAAATGCCAGAGTGACGGGAACGCTAGGTTTACAGTAAAGTATTGTTGACCATCTTTGTGTGAAGCTTACGACAGGGGGCTTGTTCCTGAGTGTTGTTGTTGGGGGGGTGCGTGGGGGTGGGGTTAATTAGATGTTTGTTTCTGATATTTTATGGTGGATATTAGATGTCTCGAATTTAAGTCGAGCTCCTGGTATTGATGTTATCCAAAATATATGTACATATCATCCTCTTGAATTTAATGTGTAGCGTCAAGCAATTCTACTCGGTAATAATATGTAAAAAGGTTCATGACTTGTGTATTATGAGTTAGTTAACATGTTGGTTTTATTTGCCATTATCATGTTCAAGCTTCTTTGGTCTAAATTTTTTGCTACAGAGTTCTCTATTCTCACTGATGCGGTGGCCATGTCAGTATTGTGTACTCGCAATAATTGAAACGGGGTCCCCAGTTTGGAGAGGGGAGGAAAAAATGAAGGGATGATGCCGTTCTTCTCTCTCTCTCTCTCTCTCTCCATGTTCCCCTTCTAGCTAGCGTTTACGGATGCGTGAATTAGTTTTTCTTTTTCTTTTTTCATTTAACCAGACAACTGTGCATTCAAAAAAATATATATATTTTTAATTCTAGTAATAACTGTACATGTGAAAAATGTTCTTTTAATACAAATAACACTAGTATTAAGCCCGTGCTAAGCACGGCCTGATGTTTTCTTTTGCATGTGTGATAAAGTGTGGCGTTATCTGGTTCATTTTCCGCCTATATTTTAGACTTTGGTAATCAATTGATTGATCGCTACCTACCATAATTACCATAATTAACTATAAAGTACTTAGCCCGTGCTCGCACGAGTGAGTCTTCCATGATGGATGTCTCAAAAAAAAAAAAACCCTCGATTATTTTTATTTGATAACTTGTGCTCACATGGGTGAGTCTTACGTGATAGATGACTTATAAAATCCTACTAAAATTGCGGCCAATTATAATAACCACACTTTTTGAAACAAGTAACCCGCCCCCCCGCCCACCACCACCCCCACCCCAAAAAAAAAAAAAAAAAAAAAACTATGGCCGATGTTTTATAAAACCTTCCCTAATTTTCCCACTTTTCTCATTAAATCTCCCTAGCATCATTTCAAAATGTAAAATAGTTAAAATATCATTTTAAAATTAACTAATTCAGTTACAAAGAAAGCCCCAACCGGTATAAAAGATCTTGATTAATTTATGATAAAAAGAGAGACACACATGCACTCATGATAAAGCACATGTCAGTTTTTTGTGCTTTTATAGTATAACACATGTTTATTTTTTATCTTTAAGAATACATAAGTGCTTATGATAAGACACACGTTAATTTTTTTTTACCTCTACAATATGATAAATATTAAATTTTTATATCTTTGAGAATTCCACCAATTTCTTTTTATACATGAAGGAGAAGAAATCTAAGACCCCAAATTTAGCTAGTTACATTCTAGATTTACGTAGAAGAATTCTAAGACCCCAAATTTGCTTTTTATTCATTTCATTGCTCAGGTAGGCATCAAGCCTTTTTGTAGTTTGTGCATCAAACATTACGTAGTGATTCTAATCCCGCAGTTAATCGTTTTGTATAACTAATTACCTAGTCTACCGCAAGTTTAAAGAGTAACGTAAAAAAAAGGGTAAAAAAAAAGTAGAAAACGTCGCCTGAGAGATTCGAACTCTCGCGGGGAAACCCCATGTACTTAGCAGGCACACGCCTTAACCACTCGGCCAAAGCGACTGCGTGATGAGCAGCGATGATAAAAACAACTTAACACAAAATACCTTTAAAGAGGGTCGACAGCTGGCACGTTATGATTCGTACACCTCATCAACCAGCGTCACTACGTCGACAGAGTCCTGTCTCGTCAATTCACCTCTTCCCTTCTTCTTCTTCTTCTTTATTTGGGACTTTGTATTTATTTGTCGAAAATCTCTGAATCTAATAAGAAAAAAAACAGAGAGAGAGAGAGCTCTAGTTCTACAATGGCGGAGGAAGCCCATCCCACGCCCGCAACCGAACGAGGCCAATCTTCATCCGATCCTCATCAGGTGCCCCTCCCTATTCGTTCTCTCTTCCTAGGGTTTTTTTCCCGCTCAATTTGGGCAACTTTTCCGACGGGGACAGCATCCTATCGCGGTGGAATTAATTGATTTGTTGAAAATATTGCTTTTTAGCCCCGGGATCTATAGCCGTGGGAAAAACCGTCTAGAAATTCAATTTCGATCCAAAAAAAAATCGAGTAATATAAGTAGGCTAAGGCGTTCTCTTTCCTGGGAAAAATATCTGTCCCCGGGATATAAGTTTCAATTTTGGCACTTTTTAGCTCAAGTATAATATGGTTTCATGTTTTTATGTATACCCAAAAAAAATTTCTCCACAAAGTCAGTTGGGCTGTGTGCAATGTTATATTATAAGGGGGTGTTTGTTTCACCAAAAATTTTGGCATTTGGTATGAATTACAAGTTTTGGGATCAAAAAGAGTTTTTTTGTATTTTGGGATTCCATATATTGTGTTTGTTTTAAGAAAATTGTTAGAATATTGAATCCCAAAAGTGAAAAAAGTGCCCAATGTTTAGAATTTGCCAAATCCTCTCAACTGGAGAGGATTTTGACAAATCCCATAAATGTGTGTGCTTACCTCTCAATTGGAGAGGATTTGACAAATCCTAATTTTATCTTTTTGTGGGAGGTAACCTCACCAAGATAGCATATTTATCATATTACAAAATTTTGGTATTTGGTAATACTACAATTTGAGCTTGAAACAAACAAAATATTACAAATTGTAGTATTCCAAATCCCAAAATATTAATGAAACAAATGACATTTTAAAAATCACAACCCATAACAAAGCACCTATGGATTTCAAATCCCATGGTGAAATCCATATCCTAAAATTATATGATTTGAAACAAACACCCCCTAAAGCAATATGCAGCAGCATGCATTTTACCAGAGCATAATGCGTAAACTTCTTATGGATCATATATATGGCAAGTCGGCAACATATGTATAAGTGTCATTTTAGAAAGAAAATGTTATAAAATCAAAAAAGTGTGAAGAACGTGGAGAATTCTAAAACAAAATGTACAAAGTCTGAATTGCACAATAGAATCAGAACCGTGTGATAATAAAAGTTTGTGTATGTGTTACCTTTGACGCTAAATGAAAAACTAATTAAAAAATAAATAAATAAATCTCAGAACAGCTGAAGAGCTAACATACATCTAAGTATATAAAGTGTACAGCGACTACAAGACTAATCAATTTTAACGTAACACATAGGCACCTCATATTTGAATTCCCTTTTAAGCATTTCTTTACGGAGTTCTGTATTGTTATGCATAACTTTGTGACCTCATCGTTCTTTTGGAATTTCATACTATGTGTTCTTGACATGCTGTTCATGCTTTTCCTGGCTCGCTAATGGTATTATTAACTCTTATGGCTGATAATTTTGCTTTTACCTGATTTGTAAATAGCATTTAATAATTTCTGCTGTTGTTATCAGGCAACAGAAGCCTCTGGTGTTCATGGTTCCTCGCAGTCAGCTGGCCAGATGTTCCCTTCAGTTGTGACACCTGTCCAGAATCAAGAACAAAATGGGCATGGTCGAGGACTTTATGCTGTTCAGTGTTTACCATTAACTGGAATGATGCCTGGGTGCCCTCAGAACATGTTAATTCCCCTTACATATAAGATGCCTGTGTAAGCCATTACCTGTGAACTTCACAACTGTTGGCCCCATTGAATACCTGTTTTAAATAGAATCCATGTCTTATCAAGTTCTTTTCCATGATATATTAATAAAGATAAGTTTTTGAAGCATTGAGTGGCTCATATCACTGATTTTGCTTGAGTCTTCTAGGGCCTTTGGGGCATATACATGGTCCTTAGAGTTTATTTGGACGAACTGTTGAAGGTCATTTTAGGGTATCAGGGGCTGTAGTCTGCATAATGTTGCTTTTACATAGTGACTGGCAATTTGGTTTCATGGGATTTGTGATTCATATATGTTTGCATTTTAAGGCATTTAGTTACTGTGCTCATTAAAAATTGATTCTCCACATATTCCCTTCAGACTACACTTATTCAGTTGCAGTATAGGATTCTTGCTTGGCTGCTGTTACAAGTTTTCAAGTTGTTCACTGTGGGCATAATGGAACTAGACTAGTATGTTCACTTATCCTACATCAACATTATGATCCTTAGAGCTAAATTAATAATATGGTATATAATTGTTATGTTGGCAGTATTACCACTTTGTCTCCAGGCTGCTTGTGCTACCCACGGTGGTTAAGTTGTTAAATATCTTGATCACCACTGACGTTAACATGTACTCTGAGAGTAGATTTGGAGTAAAAATTACTTTGATCTATTATCCTTTCTATCTATTACAATCTCTAGGTTGTCCATATTTGTTATGAATAATATCTTTTGCACGATTGTTTCTAATTATTTTCTATCTAGATTATGTGAGAATGGTAATTAAATCAATTTAGTATATTGATAGGAAAAGGGAGAAAAGAGAGGATAAAAGAAAAGAAAAAAAAGAATATATTAGTCAATTTCTAATTATTTTCTATCTAGATTATGTAAGAATGGTAATTAAATCAATTTAGTATATTGATAGGAAAAGGGAGAAAAGAGAGGATAAAAGAAAAGAAAAAAAGAATATATAGTCAAGAATTCGATCTAGGACTTCCTATAAACTTATCGTGAGGCTGACATACCAGTCAGTTGGATCTTCAGAATTCATTTTTTAATTAAAAATGGACTCTTCAACTAAGGGGATATATCAAACTGATAAGATTCTGTCTGAGTAATTTTCTATAAAAAATTTCCCACACTCGGTTACATGTAGACTGATTGTAAATATGAGGAGGCTGTTAGATGTGTATATCAGCTCTGTCAACATTAACTTGGATGATATTGCCGATAAGCTTCTAGGGGTTGGTATAACAGAAACATATATCAATTGCATTGAAAATGTGTTAAGGATGCAGTTGGAATGTATAGTTGTTATTTACAAACATTTGACACCACCAGCCATTTTCACTGGTTGGCAGCACTTTACATAACCTATAAAAGAATAGTACTGTTACTCATATATCACTGTTTGCGTTATATATCAGAAGTTTTTTTTACCTGTACTAAATTGAAAAATATGTACCCAAACAGGAGGAATAATTCCACGGATGCAGCTGGTGAGGAGCAGGGGCAGGGAGGACAGGCAGCAAGGCAGCAGGTTGGACCACATAGACAGGTAGTTGTCAGGAGATTTCAGGTTGCATTTCAGCTTGACCTGGCTCTCCTTCTTAAGCTGGCGTTTGCAGTCGTCCTCTTTGGCCAAGATGGTTCAAGACAGAGGACGATCATTCTTATCCTCCTAGCTTCATTAGTTTACCTGTAAGCATAGTTGTCTTGTTTGGTGATCACAGTCATCATCCAGTTATATCTGCACTACAACCATATTCTTGTCTTGAATTTTCTTCTTTGCCCTAAGAATCTCTCTATTTCTTTCTTCCCTTAAAATTAAGTCTACATTCCTGTTTATTATTTTTGTGTTGTTTTCATTATCTTCTCAGATACCAGACTGGAGTACTAACCCCTTTGATCCAATATGTTCGACGAGGCCTAGCCCCACCTCGACCTGTTGCACGTCCACAGAATGTTGCTGCTAGGCAAAATGATGGTAATTGATCACCAACCTTGCATTTTTTTTTATCTCACAGTGACCAAAATTATTTCTTGCAGTGCTGAATGGTAAACCTGGCTTTAACATAAAAGTTATTGGTATGACTTGAGCATGATACTAATCCCCAATATGTTATCGTATAATTTATTATGTTTGATTATCACTCAATGACTAGGTGTAGTAATCTATATTCTTAGGTACTAAGCTATGTTCTTTTTCCTAAGCTCTCAAAAAAAAAATTTCTTAGAAGCGTTGTAGATAATAAGTTGAAGCATAACGAGGTTGAATAACATGTTTTTCTATTTCATTGTTTCGATTCTTAAGCTGCAGAAAATGCTGGGAATGAGGACCAGAACCAACCTGCAGATGCCAACCAACAACCTCCTGAACCTGAGCGCATGAATTTGTGGGGATTTGTGAGAGAGATCCAAACTTTTGTTATTGGGTTTATTACCTCTCTTCTTCCAGGCTTCGAACAACACAATGACTGAACTTCCCTCTTCAATAACCTGTCAGAGAGAGTAAATCCACAAGCAATAACTCTTGGAAACTAATGTAGAAAGAGAACTGAAGAATGGAGGGGGGGAAAGTTTCATAGGGGGTGTTTCAGTTTGTTGCATTTGCATTAACATTGTCCTTTGTGGTCTATACAGTGATTCAACTCCAGTCTGTATCCTCAGTATACTCTGCATTGCAATGTCGCGTGCTCTTATTGATGTACCGGTTTGCTATTGCAAAGTTGCGTGTTGGGTGATGGCGATCTGTATAAACGGTGGTAATCGGCGCATCTTACCGCATGTCATCACTAAGAGCATCTCCAACAGTTTCTCCAAAATTTTCTCTAAAATGGGGAAGCAAAAGTTATATTCTTCAACTAATTTTTACACTAACTCCAACAACTTCCCCATTTTGAAGAATCTATTTTTTCCTCCAAAAATTTGGAGAATGCTGCAGATTTGGGGAAGCTTCCTCATTTTTTTCTCCTCCATCCCTATTTTAGGGAATGAGATGGGGAATCTGTTAGGTCAAAAACCTAACTAAATTCTCCAAAAGTGGGAAATGGGGAAGCTGTTGGAGATGCTCTAAGAAATTGTTTGTCCTGATGTTATTTTTGCCTCCTCGGTAATGTTGAATCAGGAAGAATCGTGTGCGCTTATTGAAATTGTTTGTCCTGATGTTATTTTTGCGTGAAATTTTGTTCACGAGAGAACAAGAGCAACACCGAAACAAGTAGTTATCAAACATGCTAAGAGAGTTAGATGAAAGCCATTACATTCCTACAGTAACCACAAGCATGTTATCAAACATTAGTCTTTTGCCAAACAAGTAGTTATCAAACATCAGACTTTTGCCAAACTATCACACTCAAAAAGAGAAGAAACAAATAAATGAAAAACTATTGTCTGACTAGTAAGCATACGCGGATCCAAGGTCGGGGCAGAGGGGGCAATTGCCCCCACTGACCTAGTAAGATTAATGTTTAATATGAGGCCCTTATTTTTTGATTGCCCCCTCAATATTTGATCTTATTGACCCCATAGGCAAGGCTTTTGAAAATAAACGCCTAGGACCAAACTCAAACCATTTACCAGAATGCTTTACCTAGTACCTAAATTCTCATTGATGATCGATTCATCCAAATTCTAAAACCAAAACCCCTCCGGTCTTCGATCTGCCTCTGTAATCACGAGAGGAATCTACTTGCGAATTGTGAGCGACATGGAGGAAACAATTGTAAATAATCTTAATTAGGTGCTTCTATTGGCTCTATTTTATTTCTACATAGCACATTTGTATTGGCGTCATTAATATTAAGTTTTTTCGATATTGGTTCCCCAAATCTGTCATACTTCGAGATTAGTCATGCATATCTTCATATTTTAAAATCAATCCCCCAAATACGCAAAGTGTGTGAAATTAGCTCCCCAAATCTTTCAACCCGGTACTAATTGTAGGGACTAATTTTAAAATATTTAAAATTTGGGGGTCTTATTTCAAAATGAAGATTTGAGGGGCTAATTATAAAACATAAAATATTTAGGGGACTCATATGAAAAGATCCTAATATCTAGCTAAAAGTATCATGTACTAGTTACTTGTAGTTATAATCATAGATGTCGGGAACGTGGGACGCTATAGCGAACTGCGACCTAGGTTCAATTATCCCGAGTTCACGATTAACCAACTCCATCGACTCGATTTAGAATTCAAACCACTTAATAATTTTAAAAATATAACTCTTTGTCAAAAGGAAAAAAACATGAGAAACTAAGTAAATTAAGTATGCATGCCTTTATCTAATTTATTTTGAATAAAATTAAGTTTGGTGTTTGCATCATGAAATTTGAGATACCATTGTCTAGAAAACGGTTTTAAACCGTATAAAATTTTATTAATTTATAAACTTCATGTTCCTGTCTTTTTACCTGAAAACCTTCAGGTTGTTGCATATATATCGCTTCCTTCAACTCACCGTTAAGGAATGCGGTTTTAACATCCGTTTAGAATAATTCCAAATCAAGATATGCAGCGATAGCTAAAATAAGTCTAATGGATGCAAATTTAGCTACATGAGAATACGTCTCTTGAAAATCTATTCATGTTTTCTGGTTGAACCTTTAGAAACTAATTGTGCTTTGAAGTTATCAATAGATCAATCAACACAATATTTCTTTTTAAGCACCCATTTGCATCCTATGATTTTTTTATTTTTCGATAAGTCACATAACTCCCATACTTTATTCTTTTCTATAGAATCAAGTTCTTCTCTCATGGATTCTAGCCATAAAACTGATTTAGAGAAGATTAAAGGATCTTGTTCTTCTATATTTATATCTACCGAGAAACAAAATGGCTCACATAAATACAAATAAGTAATCAGTCATCCATAAAGGTTGTGTTCTTGGCCTTTTGTTGCCTACAACTGGTTGATGAGGTACATTATTTTCTATAGGTATTTTATCATTGTCAAGGTTAGGCTCATTCATAATATTTGGGTCATTAGTGGGAACAATAACGTAATAATCATCATTTATTACAGTTAGAGATTTTATTTCCTCTTGAACTGGTTCTTTTTCCTCTAGATTCTTTAGAAATGTAACATATCTGCTTTCAATGACCCGTTTTATTATTATAGAACTTATATAACATTTTGACTTTTCTGAATACCCTATGAATCTAGACTTTAATGAATCCAACTTATCTCTAAGTTGGTATGGAATGAGAACATGAGCTATAGTTCCCCATTTCCTGAGATGACTCGGATTAGATTTCCTCCGATTCCATAACTCATAAGGTGTAGATACAACTGACTTGATCGGAAAATGTGAGAATATTGTTAAAACAACGAGTTTTGATAGGACTACTGCTGGAGAAAAACGAGAGAAGATTGTTGTGCGCAGCGGAAATTTCGGCAGAGTTTCTGGTGCACAATAAGAGAGAAAGATCGATAAGAATTCTTGTTTCTCAATGGGAACAAGAATCTGAAAGCCTAATATCCCATCAAAGTGGGATATTTGCTCTTCCTCTCGTCAGCTCTAGGACTGCGCTTCGAGGGATCCTAAAACTATTACAATGGCCACAAACTCAAACAAACTAATTTTACGTGGTTCGGCAAACTGCCTACGTCCACGGGGCAAGGAGGGGGAGATCTACTATTAAAGAGAAAAAAAAATACAATGGGTTTACAACTCTCACAATCTAAACCCTCAAATAGGCTCCTTGCTTTTCTTCACAAGAAAAGGTCAGCCTCCAAATATTTTTTCTCTCTTCACAAAACCCGAGACAGCCACCTCTCTCTCTCAGCCGACTTTGCACAGCCCTCTCTCTGCACTATAGCCGCCACAATTAATTCTCCTCTGCGCCTTTATTTTTCCAAGCCCAAAAACCTAGGTACAGGTACAAAGATATATATATATAACTGCGAAAAAGGCAAACGGGTGGGCCTTCATTTGTTCGCTGAACAAATTCCTCAAACGCGGTTTCCAAACTTCGTGGCCAAGTCTTCACGTGGGTTCGTGGTCCCCACATCCGTTTCCCATCTCTTCATGCGTGTCCGGCTTCTTCTCATCCACCACGAAACCACAATTCTCCACCTCGGTGAAGTTTTCACAAAACTAAGCCGACACCAACCAAAACAAATGCCTCACTTGTTGTGTCCAGTACGAAGTGAAACAATTCACGACAACGGACTCAATCCATAACAAGTCGAGACCCAAATGAGAATGCAAGCACTCTCCAAATGTTGGTATCAACTCACCAAATCGATCTCACCCCCATCAAAATCCAAACCCGGCTGCAGTTGCACTCGAATCAAAACCCAACTCATCATCTGCACCCAAATGATCTCCAAGCCGTGTCACCTCAGCTAGAATCCCAAATAATGCAGTATGATCTGGAGTAATCTTTACCCAATGTGGAGTAGCATCACTCTCCACCCGCTGCGATACCTCTAAGGTCTGTCCAAAACTCTCCACCTGCTGAGAGTCAATTGGCTTCCTCATCGAAGCCTCAACCAAAGTGACACTACCAGACCTATCTTCCAATGGAGTTTTACCTCCAATCACAGCAGTTGACAACTCTTTAATAGGATGACCCAAATATGTCGAAGCCTCTGTCCAGAAACTCTTCTGCAAACCATTGCTCGACCCCAAACACCGATCCTCCTCCAGAAAGGCACGGTTCTCCAAATTTGTCACCCTATCTAGCTGTTCCAAGATTTCCTTTCCAACGAAGTGTCTCGAAATACCGTGAGCTCGGCTCTAATACAGAAATAGGTCCATCTTGTACCTCCCACCAGAATGGAGTACCTTCACCTTTCTGTCTGTCACACACTTCTTCAATCTGTTGGAAACTACTAGGACTTTCTCCAAAGGGGATTTGGTTGCAACCCAAACACGCCTAGAACAGCCACCAACAAAGGAAACCAAACGCCTATTACCTCCCAATGATGCCCCCTTGGAAGGCCCCCAAACATCCACGTGAACTCCTCCAGAACGACCCTTAGCACGGTGAATAGAGGTGCCACACTTCACCTCGGTCTTCTTGCTCACATCAACATGTTCACTGGACTTCAAACTGCAGGTCTTTGCACCCTCTTTCAATCTATGCGAGGAATCAATACTGGAATGGCCAAGCCCCAAATGCCGCAGTCTAGTCGAATCAACAGAAGTCGTCAGCTCTCCACCTGCCACTATACCTCCAGTCAAGTAATACAGGTTATTTCTCCTGACGCCCTTCATCAAAATACGAGAGTCTCTCGCAATCTCGAGAACCATGTCCTCAACACGAACCTTCAGACCCTCTCCAACCAAAGCTCCAATCGAGATCAAGTTCTTCCTCAAAGAAGGAACATATCTCACATCGTTTAACTCTCTAACAGTCCCGTCAAACATCTTTATGCGAATTCTTCCTATCCCAAGGATCTGGCATGCACGGTTATCAGCCATGTACACCACACCACTATCCACCAGCTTCTCAAAACTGGAGAACCATTCCCTTCTAGGGCACACATGATAGGTCGCACCACTATCCAACATCCATTCAGATTCCTCCGAATAGCTATCTGTAGGACTGATAGAAAGCGAATAAATAGAAGAGTCAGAATTATTACCATCCGATACGATGTTTGCTTCTGATGATGGTTGCTTCCCTTTTCCCTTCTGCTTATTCTTCATCCATTCGTCGAGCTTTGGGCAGTCTTTCTTCCAATGACCAGTCTCCTTGCACCAAGCACACTGATCTTTTCCTACTCTA